TCAGCAAAAATCCATTCATGGGATCGTGAAGTGTTCACTGTATGAGGTTTTACTCTAATGCATTCTTTTTAAGGTTTTATTCGCAAGATAGAAATGTAGACATTTGCTGATAAAAAATAAACAAAAATATGATCGATCGGTTTTAACGTATCAGATCTAGACAAAAAAAACACTGATTTTATTCTTGATCCTCAAAAAAAGCTTTGTTGACAGTTTTATCGCTTGTCGTTATTTTGATCTATTAATATCTATTCATGTATTGACAAATACAGCTCCAGCTGTCTGTGCTCTATCACAGATAGACGAGCCTAATCTATTATTACTCCGAGGCACAGTAGTGTTTCCGTTATCTGGAGCGACCTTGGCATCGATCTTATGTATATCAACGACGATAATCACGAAATTTTCAAGGTATATGTGATTAGAGCAAATTACTCACTGAAGAGAACTTCAAGATAAATACTTGAAAGTAGTCACGGCTACAGGTTACTTTTCGATGAATCCCACTAACTCACATGCTAAGAATATTCAACGACACCTGGATAAATCAAACAAATTAGAATCATTTGACATGAAATTTTTATCGATAATAGTAGCTGCACTAAGCCCTTGAATGAGAGGTCAAACGCCATGAGATTTCTTGCTCATACTGAAACGTGCTAGTCTAAGTAAAAACTGTATGTTGACCTTCTAGTTTCTTTGTTTGAAGGCCGACCAAGTCTTCATAATTGCTTGGGATTAGATTTCATCGTGCTCAAATTGTCGCCAAAATATGAGACTAAATAATTCATGTTTAGATACTTCTTAGCTTGTAACGCGGACTTTTGATGATTGCTGTAGTCATGTTCATCATCAATGAAAATTAGTCAAGTTTACTGTTCATCCATATTGTCTAAAACTTTCTTTCTAAAATATTGAGAATTTCAAATTTGCAAAAGAACATTCAATAGTAATAACATGAGATTTAACAATTAATATTGAACTCTAAAATAAGTAGAGTTAATATCTTAATATTTTTTTTTTGAGATAAGAATATATAATAAATATTGAAACACATTTGTATACTTTTGTTTTCCAAGGATGTTCATTAAATCTATAAAGTGATTTGATTTCTTTCTTGATTGATTAAACAAAAAAATTTTGCATGATTTTAGAAAAAACATTTATTTTGCTGTAATCTTGTTTTCATTAGCATTTGTATTATTACTCATTCTTTAATAAAAAATGCAATACGAAGTACAACAATATAGGCATAATTATGGTTAACAGGATTTAGAAAAATAGTATGAATTCAATATTGGCTTTGTTAAATGTAATGCTCATTAGAAACAATACTATTCTTTAATAAACCTGTTTGCATTTCATAATGATGTCTACATTTTATAATGAAATATAGTTACAATAACATTCCTCAGAACTAAAGAATGTTGAACAATATAAATATTTCGAAATCATATAAAATATCATCATTAGATTTTTTCCAATCGAAAATTTATTGTCTATCATGATTGGATAATCATATTAATAATCTGTCTATTTTTAATTAATATTCATCATTAGTCAAGGGAATATATTATGATCTCTTCATCATAACAGCTACAGAAAGAATTACTAAAGATAGAAAAATATGCATTCTACTTTGATTTACTCAAGTAGAAAATCACCTGTTTAGATAAATATTTTTCTTATAGAAGAAATTACTCTAGAGAGATTGATTTCTAGTATGATGATTACCAATTTATTTAGCTCGATTCATATGCACATATGGTATAAAGAAAAAAGATCATCTTTATTTTAGTCAAGTGATCTTTTCCTTTATCTTTACGTAAATCACGCTTGGTCTATATGTATTTAGTTAATAGATATTACGCATGCATCTCTCTGCGATTGTATGTTCATCATGATTATATCTGTTTTTGTTCTTCTCATTGATTAATGAAGGAAAGAGTCTGTCTAACACCCGCCGGCAAAAGTAATCTAGGCCAGTGTTATTCGAACAAGTAATTTGTTTATCTCATTTATCGAGCTGCCGTTTATATGATTGCATTTATGCAATAAGAACAGGCTCATTAAAATATGCATAGGATGCCATTTACATTCATTTCACGGTTCAATTGAGTTTCTATAGGTGATAAATTGTATAAAAGGGTGGAAAAAGAAATTTATTTAAATTAAATTGACCAACTTCATTATGTTTTATTGACTTACGTAAGAGACAGATAGAAGAAGAAAAAAAAAGAAACGTGACTATTTCTGTTCAATAGTATAATGACTAAGCGTAGATGACGGAATAGTAGATTTCTCTTTTTAAGTCTTTTTTTCTTTTCAATGTTCTACGAATGATATAAACATCCGTTTTTATGACGCCAATCATTGAAGTATTTTATGCTTTGTTAAATATAAGAATGAACACTGATTGACTTTATTTCGATATTTGTCTTTTATACATATAGTATCAACTCTTTTTGTTCGTCTGTTTAATTGTAACATTGAGTATACTCCTCATATATCGGTAATGATTTGATGGACGAATGATATCGTTTTGTTGAAAGTTATGAGGAGGAGAGAAGAAAGAGAAAAAAAAAAGGCCGATGGTGAAGAATAGAGAACAAGGAGGCTAACCGTCACCTTTTTTTTTGGGAGAAGGAGACTGTTTATACGTGTGAAATATCTACTGTCTTCTTTTTTTTTTGCTTTTTTTCCTACTTGCTTCGTTTGTTGTGTCAATTTGTTCTGTTCTGTACCATCATTATTCTATTCAAACGACGTTATCTTTTCCTTTACCTATATCGTACAGCAATGTTTCGGTTCACAGCTCTTATGTTTAAATATTGCTTGAGTTTCTTTTCTTCTTCGTTTCTTTTTTATTGTGCGGTAAAAGACATGCATGTTATTATAAAACAAAAAGATAATGTCGGTGGTTTCTTCCTTGATTTATATTCATAAAATGACAATTATCATTTATTCATTGAAATACAAACAAAATGCAAATAAGACAGATAGATAAGAACTAAAAAAACATATTAGAAATGAAATTTATATAACGACAAGTTGGACAGGTGAGCAAATTAATCTTAAAAAAAAAAAAGGTTCGTCCTTCGAGATTTTTACTTTTATCATTTGAGTTGATTTTATTCTTTTCTGATAAGAAAAATATAGATAAACATCTGCACACGTGTGCGAACAACATTGATTGGTCGTTGACAAATTTCGTTGTGAGAAATTAGTGATAGAGAGAAGCCTTCACCACCACATGTGTGTACAGCCGTTTATTGCACAATCTACCATTACTATTAGTAGTAAACAGACAAAAGATGGATGACCATTGACATTTGCCTGTTATGAAAAAAAATAAGAGAAACGTAACAATCATTACTTGTCACTCTCTAAGTGAAGAAATTAATAGAAATAGTAATAAAACAAAATCATTATAATGGTATTTTCTTTCTTTTCTGTCAATTAATCCTTTTTTTCCTTCAAGTATAGTGACATATTGAACTAACCTATACATTTCCTTTCACTTAACTTCAATTTTTTTTGTTCTATACTTAAGTTGAATGAAAGACAGGTTAGAATTGCCTATTTGTTTGAGTATATATGTGTATATATTGTACATAAATGAGAAGAACGTCATCGTTGTGCTTTACTTCAGGGTACGTTGTTGAGAAAAAACGCAAGAATAATTGCATGCTCGTGTACGTCCTTGAATACAACGAGACGACAACGATGATGATGATGAAAGCACACGCGATTGCAATATAGGAGCCACGAAGGAGAATACAAAAGTATATTTGTTTGATTGCAAACATTCTCAATCGTATAACATATATACATATACACGTTCAGTTAAGTGATCGTGATTTCTATCTTGTTGTTCTTCCTTCCTATGGTGTATGTTTAGATGTCTGTGTGAATAATATTAATCAACAAGGTTTTTAATCGAATCTATTACAGCTGTAGTCGATTTCTTCAATTGATATTGTCGAGTAGATTATCGATTGATTGAAATTAGCGATTAGCCAAGAAAAATATGCGATTGAGTGTTTACTTAAGAACGGATGAAGGTTTTTCTGTTATTTTCTTCGAGTTTTTTTTTCTTTTTTGTAATATATTCAAATTATCGAGGGCTTTTTACTCAGCCTTCATCGGTGTAGAAACTCACATTTAATATATATATATATATATGTACACTTATAATTGTGTTTAAAAATCTCACGATAAGTAGCCGTACTACAAATATTCATTGATTCATGTTACCTTTCACCGTTTTTTTGCTTTCATATATACAAATGTTTTAAGTGACGAGAATAAAAAAGTATTCGCGATTGAATCGAACTATTTATTGACAAGAGTAATGACAGTAATGCGAATCTTTTATTCAAATGATTGACGTCAAAAATCGATTGCCAATTAAGAATTAAATTATTTATGTTTTCAAATATGACTATATAGTAGTTGATAAACTTCTATTTTCGAGGCAGATGTTTTTTTTCTTCTCATTGATTGCGCGTTATTTTATTAATAAAAATAAAACGTTTATCTATTATTACTAGTTCAAGTACATACATAGGCTAGATGTTAAAAGATGATTAAAAGTTAGTAGAGACATGAAAACATCTCAAATTTCAGTTATCATCAATGAATTTAAAGAATGTTATTTCCCTAGTGTTGCCAGATTCAAATCAACATATCAGTGGCATTTTGATGAGGAAGATAGATAGACAGAATTATTTCATCTACCTTGAACTTACTTCATAGACAAAGAGTAGTAGATAAAATAATTATTTTCTCTTGCTGAAAGATTACAAAAAATTGTAAATCAATATAAATCTTTTCAATAGAAAACATCGATTAAGAATTAATTGATATCAAATAAAAATAAAACAGTTCGATTAAAGTCATTTCAAGACTATGAAAACTACTAGACAAAATAGATCGTTTCTTTTATGACGATTTCAGAAGAGATATTCAACTATATTACTCGGTTTTTTTTTCAGACAATGTTTGTTCTACAAAAATTCTCATTTTTCATTTTATTAATTCATATTATTAATGTTACTGCAAATGAGAAATGTAAGTGAAATTCGTTTTTTTTAATGTATTATAAATTGTTTTCTTATTTGATTCTATCTATAGCAATAGATCTTCAAGGGCCTATGGATGATGATGCTTATTATGATGGTGATCAACAAGAACCCGTACATGTTAATTTATTACAAACAATTGATTGTACAAATCAGTGTCCACCGTATTGGATTGAACCTATTTTACAACAAAAACAAACATTAGTTTATCCAACATCAGCATTTGTTTCATTGAAATGTCCATATAATGCTAAACCAAAAGCAAAAATAACGTGGTTTAAAGATGAACAATTTTTTTCACCAGAATTATATGAATTGGTAAAAAAAATACATTTCTTCGATAAATTCCTATTTGTTTTTTAATCTTTAGTTTTCAATTGATGGTATATATTTAAATATTTCTAAAATAACAATGTATGAAGCAGGAACGTATACATGTGTTATTGAAAATAGCTTAGGAAAAATTAGTCGATCATTTCAATTAATTATACAAGGGCGTAGTCTTGATCGTCCAGTATTTATATCTAAGCCAACAAATGTGACACGATATGAAGGTGATAATGTCACATTTGAATGTTTATTTTATTCGGATTCAAGTCCATTTGTTCAATGGTTTGTTCAACGAAAATCAATAAAAAATATCCATAGACATGAACAACAAAATGAATTAGAATTTCTTAAGGTAATTCATATTTTGATTGTTGTTTTTATTAAAATAAATAATAATAAAAATATCGAACTAAACAAAACAAACCAGAAAACATCTATCTATGTATAGTTTTCTAATGGATCCAGATTTAGTCTAGGAACACGACAGGTAACATTAAATACAAAAAAAACCAGCAATTCTATTTTGTGTTCGCTATGTGCTTTTGGAATATTTTTATTATTTGATAATATTTATTGCATGCTATCCTTAAAATCAAATACAAATGAGGATTGTATTTTGAAAAGCTATAATATCCCAGTGGTTGGTTTTTTATATGAGACTGTTATTTGTATTTATTTTAATTTATGTTTGCTTAAATTATGGAATTTTATTTATTTCGTTAATATGTGTGTGTAATAAGCATATGTATATGATTCGATCATGATGATTATATGTATGCATGAATTTGCTTTATGATTTGTTATTTTTTTTTGTTTTTTGGAGTGAAAACATACATTTTATTTGAATTTATATAAAATTTTGTCTGTATTTATTTTAGGAATATAACCCACATACAATGTCTGAAGATGAAGTTAAACTATTGACTATTACACGTTTACAACGAAACGATACAGGTGTTTATCTCTGTCGTGTTTTAAATGAATATGGTTTTAATGATTTAATACATCATCTTACTGTTTTACCTGGTACATTAATTTTGTTTGTTCTTTCATATTTATTTGTTAATAAAATATTTTTCTTTTAAAGATTATGAACGACCTTTATTATTACAAAATGTTTCATCAAATAAACGACATTATATATCAAGTCGATTATCTGATGAATTAATTATATTAATTGGTTGTATTATTGGAATATTACTTTTTGCATTTCTATTTTTTCTTATTTATCATTTTCGTAATGAAAAAAGTTTACAACAAACTTTATTAGCAACACGTATATTAGCTACAAGAGGTATTAGTAATTTAAAAAATGTAAGTACAAATAATTTTTTTTTAAACTCATCTAATATTTTTTCGATAAATAGAATCAACTTTATCGCAGTGATATTGATCCAAAAACAAAAAAACTTTTAATGGAAGATAGTTGTCATCATTTTCCAACAGAAGGAACAATATCAACAATTATCTCTTCATATTACGATGATCAATGTGAATTTTCTCGAGAAAAGTAAACAAACTTTTTTCTCATAAATAGATTTTCGATCTTGCTGCTTTTCATAGTCTTTCAGTTGGTCATCTAATTGGAAAAGGAGCATTTGGTTTTGTATACGAAGGTGTAGCAAAGGATATTAATCCAAAAGAAAAAGTAACAACAGTAGCAATCAAAACAGTAAGAGGTTAGTTTTTATACAGAAAACAAATTATTGAAATCCATATTTTCTAGAACGATTATTTTAACCGTTGAAAACAACGTATGACTGTAATGAATTTTACTATGTTTCACTTTAATCCATCATCACGTTTTATGAGTCGATTTTTTCTTGCTAGAGAATGATTATCATATTCTCCATTATTTCTATCGTTTTCTAGAACGACAGATTATGGTGATGTGATGAGTATGATTGAAGAGAAGACTCGCACCCATCGAGCTTTTCAAAAGCTCGGAAAATAGTAATTTATTAACATAAAAAAGCTGTTAGTAAAATTCTTTCGAAACTCCTAGTAGGAAAAGTCTTGCTACGATTATTCTTTGTATACAAAATTCTCCTAGTGATAATTTCTAAAGGTGCTAAGAGAATAGATCATGGACCTCAAACACCGTCAATGTTTTGTCACTTGGAAAAAGAAGTCCTGATACGTACAGGAAAATTTGTTTTTCTCGCAATCAATTTTTACACAAAAAAGTGCAGAATGGCGCCCATTTCTTCGATATGATATGTTCGATAGAGCTGAAACTTTTTGTAAAGGTATTAGGCATTGTTCGGAGTGTCTACTATTCTTGTTTGTTTTGAATAACATTGGCACCATTGACATTTGGCAAATTTTATAAAAAAAAAAAGAAAAATATGTATTTTTGGAGATATTCTCAACACTTTGATCTTTTTATACGAATAGAACGAGACAAAAAGAAATTTAAGAAAACAAAAACAAAAGACAAAACGGGGTGATTTTTAACTTTTGAGAATAAGATGTTTCCTTGAAGGAAATATTTGAGAAGTTGAAATTTATGGCAAACCATTACTCTACTCTTCAAGATCTATTCATCCTTGAAGTTTCAAATATTTTTGATGAGCCACTATTCAGAAGCTTCGGAAAAGAGCGTCCAAATTACTTCAACAATCATTTTACATCATCTTTCACACAAATTTATATTTTAGACGATGCAACACCAGAAGAAATTGAAAACTTACTTAAAGAGTTATCGGTAATGAAAATGGTTGGCAAGCATGTTAATATCATATCATTTCTTGGTTGTTGTACAAAAGGAGGTAAAACTTTTTTTCATTCATTAATTTTCCATTGGTTAATTATAAATATTGCCTAGGTCAAGTTATGTTAATTGTTGAGTATGCTAAATATGGTAATTTACGTGATTATTTACGTCGTAAACGTCCACCTGGTCATGCTCTGTCAGGTTTATATGAAAGTCCCTCAGATACAGATAATACTGAGCAAGAAACTATAATTAATGATGATGATTATGTACGTTCATTAACAACAATTGATTTAATTTTATTTTGTGTACAAGTTGCATCTGGAATGGAATATTTGCATTCAAAAAAAGTAAATATTTGAAAAAATAAAAAACAATAGATTAACTGAAATTTTTTATTTTTTCATCTAGTGCATTCATCGTGATCTTGCTGCTCGAAATGTCTTATTAGCAGATAATCGTATATGTAAAATAGCAGATTTTGGATTTGCAAGAGATTTAACACAAACATATTATTATCGAAAACAAACAGATGTAAATTTTCAAGATTCACATATAAATAATTTAATTTTTCTCTATTTCTAGGGTCGTGTACCAGTTAAATGGATGAGTCCAGAAGCATTATTTGATAGAAAATTTTCAGTAAAAAGTGATGTATGGTCATATTCAATATTAGCATGGGAAATAATGACATATGGTGGTACACCATATCCGTCTATAGCTGCAGAAAATATGTTTGATTATTTACGAGATGGTAATCGTATGAGTCAACCAGTTAATTGTCCAAATGAAATGTAAAATCATTCAAAATTAAATACTTTTGTTTCTCTATGTTTTTTTTATATTTGTTTTAGTTTTCAAGTAATTGAATCATGTTGGACGTTTAAAGAATCATTACGACCAACATTTACACAAATATGTGGAAGTCTTCGACATTATTTATATGGTTCATCACCAATTGATTATTCCGATTTAGATTATGTAGATTTTCCACCAATATCATCACCATCAATAAGTGATTTTGCATCGACAACAATTTTACCTCTATCAACATCAGGTATTGCAAGTGATACAAATAGTCATAGTCATATAACAACAACGGCCACATCATCATCATCACTTTCTTAGTTTTGTTTTTCATTTTCTTTTTTTTATCTTATTCTTTTGCGATCAATCAGACATTTTGTATTTCATAGAAATAGACTTCTGATTGTTGTTCATTTTTTTTCTTTGTGTGTCAAATATTTTTTTTTTTGTATTACGTATATTTGCAATATAAATAAGACTATTCAAAGATTATTCAATCTAATTAGATTTCATCTGATTTTGTTTTTCTAAATTAATGAACAAGTTTTGCTGATAAATGGAATTGATTTAGCCAAAAGAAAAAGCCACGAATAAAAATGGTGATTGCTTGAAAATATCAAACAGTTTATTTTGAGATTTTCAACCTGCAAGATGAAGATATGGGTGTGTCTGAGTGTAGTATAGATATTTGTAATTTGAAAACTCATATCCACACATCTATCAACATTCCAACCGACGGAGCATGAATCTAGGATAGGTTTTCGTTTGCTTAAACCTTGTGGCGGCACTGCCTATGCTTATTTAACACCAGTCAGTAGTAGATAAAATGTGGGCTGACTTCGCAACAATGTGCCATTTGCCAGAAGAAAATGAAAATTAAACAGTCGCAGAAAATTTTTACAATAATTAGAGCCCACCTAAACTTTCATCTATCTGATATAAGGTGAACTTCAGCTTACCCAAGACTCATGGCTTCACTGCTCGTGGCATATTTATAAATAGGTTGATGGGGAAAAGTTTTACGAACAATCTATGGTTTAATTTTTTTTCCTATGGTGTCAAGCACCTACCTGAAATTCAATGAATGTCTAGAAAACTGGACGGAATAGTTTTCTGGTTACAGAAGACTTTCTCACAACTACCTTTTAACAATGTTATTTTAAAGAGCATAAAATTCTGAACTATTAGTATAGATCCTGCATTTTCTACGACCTTTCGTTAAAATGTTAACAGTACCAAAAACACGAAATTTATGAGAAAATCAATTAAAAAAACGTCTTTTTTCGGTTTTGTGGCACTTTTTATTTTATAAAGAGAAGGATGTTGAAAATGGGGCGCTCTCACGTCGTGCTCAGAAATTATTGCTCTTCAAAATGGCAGTGTTAAATAATCGATTCAACAAAGTCTTCTGTAATATGAAAAATACTGTATCCAGTCTTTTAGAAGCCTTGCTACTATAGTTCAATTATGAAGTGTTGGTATAGATAACTACATTCGCTATTAAAAGCACTATCTGAATTTGCGGTAAGTGCTTAAAATTATAGAAAAACAGTAAAATACCTAAGCGTATAAGAATTTGCATTGACTTCTGTAAAGTGTTTCAAATTCTCAGAAGTATTAGAACTTAATATTGTAACATCAAAAATTGCCTTCGCAAATTTTCAATATAATATCTTGATATATTTTGATATCCGATTTCTAGGATTTTTGTATATTAAATAATTTATTTAATCTTAATGTTTGAAATCTTCTTTGTTATTGATTTTATTAATTTATTTATGCATTAATGCGTTATATTTCAACAACGACACTGCCTTCGCCAAACTAAATACATTTATGTTTACAAATACTAATGCGAAGACAAGATGATGATACTAGTAGGAAGATAGAAAGCTGAGACCTTCACCAACAGTTAATAATCAGTAAGATTAGATATTTATTTAACGAAGAAATTTTTCTCCAACGTTTCTTTTTGATAGAGAAAAATCTTCAGAAAACTTGATTTTATTAGGTTTCACGAGCTGAATTTGGACCACTAGTAACATGATGTAATTATCAATAGTATATGTGTTAGGATTATATTTGAACACTCTATTCAACTATCGCATTTTCAAAGGTGTGAATCAAAAGCCGATAGCTAAGTATGAGGACTTTTGAAGGTGATTTTAATTTTTACTTAAACTTTCTACTAATAAAACTGTGTATTTAGAATACTGTTGACCTAGGCTAAAACAAAAAATGATTTGCTTTCATTATCAGCGAGTTAAGAAAATGTGAAAAAACCCTAATAAAGTTCCTTCTTAAGAAATGTATCAATGGTAAAAGTACTAACCCAATCGCAAAATATTACTCTTTTTAATGGATTTGTTCGAATGGATAATGAATATCTACTGTTCTTTCTATCAGAAGCATTAGCTTTCTCAGTAGAACATTCTGAAGTTCGAATAAAAATCTAGATCGATTCCCGAAATCCACACACACTTAGTGATCGGCTTTGGCTTTACAACTTTGAAAATTCGCTAGCTCGATAAAACCTTTACAGGCGATCCTAACATATATAATATTGATAATATAACCATATTCTTCATGAAAAAATTAGGCTCCTGAAACCTCGAAAAACTAGAGCTTTTGCGAGTGCTTTCTATGCAAAGAAAACGTAGAAAAAAAAATTTCGCTTAATAAAAGTTAATCTTACTGATTAGTATCTACTCTGAAAGTCTCAGTATTTTAAATTTGGAACTAAGGAAACTCTAGAAACCAGATTTTTACTAGAAAGATTCTTCGAATCGAGAGTCGAGAGTTATCAATAGACCGTTTTAAAAAAATTTAATAGTGATTTTTAGTATTAAGACAATGAGTTGTTACCACTTCTAAGCACATTAGAAATGTTAAATATGTAACTCTTAGAATGCCTGAGATAATTTCTCACCAATATTGCTAATTCTACTCAGTACCTATTTGACAGGCTTCTTATGAATAAAAAAACTAAACAGTAATCTATCACCACAAAAACATTCAGCTCAATAGATTAAAGCAAACAGGAGATATTGGTTTGTTTACATCGTCTAGGTATCTACAGGCCATTTTGCGTCGAAGTTTCACTCAAAAAAATCTTATCTAATTTTGCGATAATATTTTAATCCATAAGACTAGTAAGTAATACACTAGACAAGAGAAATTTGTTTGTTATTGAATATCATCATTTATTAAACTTGAACAAAAAAAAAAGAATTATTATTCTGTGCTTTTCTTTTATGAAAAGTAAGGAACAATGAACTGAATCTTTTATTGCAACTTTATGTTTGTTTATTAATACCCTGATTATTAGCGTCCTCTTTCTCATTGCTTAATATTAATTGGAAAAAAACGTCCAACAATCCTAAAAACATATCGTTGTTTTTTCTTTTTTCTATGCATTCTTTCTTTTTTTTTACTTCTAATATCAATATTTCTTTCGCAGATTTTTTTTTCTCGTTGGCTTTTTTGTTTTGCTTCTGAAATCTTCTTCGTTTCTTATTGTCTATTGATTGACACAAATATGTCCAATCTATCATATTTTTTCCTCTCTTTTCTTGTTCTCACAATCTCAATGACTCATTTTCATTCCAATTGACACGTTATGCCACTTTTTCCTGTTCTTTAAAAAAAAAACTTGATCTACAGAGTACTTCCGGTGTTCATCATGCAAAGTGCTCCACCTGATAATGCAATTACCTATAAATTAGTAGTCGTAGGTGAAGGTGGTGTTGGCAAATCTGCCTTGACCATTCAAGTAAATACATATCGAAAGAATTTAACGAAAAACAAAACAAAATATTTATTTAATTTCTATTTTAGTTTTTTCAAAAAATGTTTGTTGAAGATTATGATCCAACTATTGAAGATAGTTATATTCAACATGTTGAAGTTGATAAACAAGTATGTGTACTTGATGTTCTCGATACAGCTGGTCAAGAAGAATTTTCTGCTTTACGTGAACAATATATGCGTAAAGGTGATGGTTTTCTTATTGTTTATTCTGTGATTGATCCTAATTCATTTAAAAATACTCGACAATTTTATAATCAAATACTTCGTGTCAAAGACAGGTATTATTTCATTGTTTGAAAAATTTTACATACACACAAAACAATGATTTGTTTTTTCTTTCTTAATAGAAAATCTTATCCAATGATTCTTGTTGCAAATAAAATTGATTTAGTTAATTTAAGAAAAATATCTGAAGAAGAAGGTCGTGAATTAGCTAGTGAATTACAAATCCCATATATTGAAACCAGTGCAAAAGTTCCACCAATAAATGTTGATGCCGCATTTCATGAACTTGTTCGTGTAATAAGACAACAAAATCAAAATCAATATCCAATAAAAAAGAAACGAAAAAAACGTCGTCATTTACATCGTTGTCGACTTATGTGACAATAAATATTTAAATTGCAATCAAAAAAATCGATATTTAAGAAAATTTTCTCTTTTTTTCTATAATCTCTATTGTTTATGTGCCTTTTTCCTTTCTCATGTGTGTATTCATTTCTAGCTCAACTCTTTTGTCAATGTGTGCGTGTATGAAAATTAATTAAAATAAAACTTGTGCAACGATTCAAAGTTTTTTTTGTTTTCATTGCAATGAAAAATTAAATATATTCTATTAGATATAATTATTATTTAAATAACATATTTCGGGAACGTTTCGCTGTATTCTATTGAGTTATTTACTGGAGATATAGAGGATTTTTAAGTGTATCTATATTGATATATAAACGCTTCTTATTAGATAGTGATGTATTAAGCAGCTATTTAAGATAAACAGTGTTGATACCACGATTGATATTGATGTTGATAGAAATACATATTAATCATTAATTTGTTAATGTCAATATGCTTCAAGTGAAAGATTGATTAAGATAGAATATTCTTTTGATTGAATTGATCTTTAGAATTCTAATTATCCAAAACAAGATCAATAATGAATATTGGGAATTATATAATCATTCGAATTATAAAGTATATTATCATATACAGGGTGATTTTTTTTTTTGAAATATTTTCGCGAGATGAGCTACAATTAACAAATATTTATCATTATTATTCAAAACCTACATAAAGAATTAATATAAAAAGAAAATTTAAACAAGTTGGACAACTACATACGATTTGCGTACAAGACAAGAAATTTAAAAAATAGACATATGTACATATACGTCCTATATTGCATAATACTAAATGATTCGGAAGTAAAAGAGATAATACTTCATTTAATCGAAATACGTGATCATGCTTATGTATTGCTCGGACAAATCAATTATTCAATTTTGAGCTGTTTA